TTTTTTCTTATTTGGTAAACCTGAAGATTCTATTAAGCCTGTGATGCCTTGGTTCATTTTCTCATCTATTTTAGTTGACTTTATTTCAGATATCCCTGGAAAGACATTCTTTGGGATTTTCTAAGCAAGTAATTTCATTTCTTGGATCAGTCTTTTTTTGCATAGTATTATAAAATGTTAATTTTATCTTTCTATTTTTAAAAAAAGCCTTCTGAGAACATGATTAATGTCATATATTTTTTCAACTAATTTTTTTGCCTTTTCCTCCCCTAGGAATTTGATAAGGCTGCTACCCGGCAAGTTCAGCAAATATTCAGACACATTGATGAACTCCTTTATGAACAAAAACCATGTTTATACGTTAGCCTAGAGGAGGAATGTGAACAATGGATGTCAAGGTTTCCTCACCTCAGGTATCTCAAATATATATTACTACTACATACTTCAGAGTACTAGAGAGCTACTCTGTTTATGTGGGTGGTGTCCTTTATGGCAGAGGTCCTCAACCTTTAGGGCACTAGGGACCGGTTCCATAGAGAAAGGTTTTTCCACGGACCGGAGGGTGTGTGGTTTTGTGTGCTGCCTGTATCTCACGGATGGGGCTTTGCATGTTTGTGCAGACCAGTTGCTGTCATACCGCAGCCCGGTATTGGTCCACAGACCGGGGGTTGGGGAACCCTGCTTTATGGCATGCAATCTGCTTTTTTGACTTGCAGCCTTTGCATATTTGCTAGCTGTCTTTGGGGCATGCCTATTTATTTTATTATTTTATTTTATTTGTCAAACAAAAATTACAAATTCATGCAAAGAAAATAAAATCAGAATGCAACAGGTATGATAGGCATGCCAGGGCACTTATGCATGCCCCCTTAGGGCCCTCTTATATATGGAGTAGCCTCTTAACTAGCCTCCTAACCACAGAGGCTAAGTTAGAATTAAAACTGAAAGTTAATGACCAAGAGAAGTGAATCAGGTAAGATATTCTAGAGACTTTGACAATTTTGTTACAAAAATGGAATTTTTTTACAATCGAGTTTAGAAGCGGCTTACATTAATTTTAAAGCGGTTGTTTGCACGTGTTACATTACAATTAAAGCTAAAAATGTCATTTGCAGGCAAAGCATTACTATGTACAATTTTGTATTCAATACCTAAGTCTGACTGCAAGTATTGCAGTTCTAAACTATCCAAGCCAAGAATTTGAAGCCTTGTAGCATAGGGTATTCTATTAGGGACAGAAGAATGCAAGACTTTTCATATAAAGTACTTCTGAACTCTCTCGATTTTGTTAATGTCTGATAAGTGGTAAGGATTCCAGACAGTTGAACAGTATTCTAGGATTGGTCTAATGTATGTGTATAATTTTTAGAGCAGATAACGTTTAATAAGTTTATTCAGATCAACTAATATTTTATAATTTTCTCTTTAACATCAGGATTGTGGGGAAGCAAATAGTGATACCCTCTGATGAAGGCTATGGATGGTATATTAGTTCAGCGTGCAGCACTTTGACTTCATCAGGCATGAGTCCCATGCAAGAGAAAGATCCTAGTGAGTAAGTGCCTGCGATCACTTCACAAGGATTGCAGTTATTGTTTTTGACCAACTAAGCCCTTGTCATCTGCAGCAGAAAGTGAACTTTTTAAAATTACAATCTTATTTTTGTTTTAAGAGATGAATATTCAATTATTCAGTCCATTTCTATCTTGAGTTTATTATACAAACCAGTTTTGGGGGGTTTTTTTTGTTAAATAAACAGCTGTAGCATCAATAATGCATCTCTTCCATGTACAAACTATATTCTTAAGAAGCGTTGACATTATTGGTCTGGCTCTACAAAACCAGGAAAGATCTTTGTGCCTACTTTCTATATTAAAAGACATACTGGAAATAATTTGCTAGAAGCTATATGGAAAGAAAAAGTTTAGTTACTCTTTACAAGTTGCTGCTCAGAGGGAAATAACAAAAGGCTACTGTTTAATTTTCTCTTTGGATCTGAGCTCTGGACAATAATAACTCAAATATTGATAGACTAGTAGTTGTTGCCATCACACTGGATAATCAAATGTCATATACAAAGTAATATAGAAACAGTATATACAACCTAATGAATTAATGAAGAAGTTCAGTGTTGACTCAACCTTCGATCCTTCCAAGGTGAGTAAAATGAGGACCCAGATTATTGGGGGCAATATGCTGACTTATAGAGAGGGCTATAAAGCATTGAGAAGCGGTGTCAACGCTGCTAATATTGAATATTCTTGCTTTGACAAATTATGCTGAACTGTCTGGTACTTTTAGAGTTAATTCAGAGGAGAATGAGGGAGGAGGGAAAAGCCCTCAAAAGAGGGCGGAAGAGAACCTTTGCCCTTCAAACTAATTGGAGAACGTAAATCATGACAGCAGAATAAGAGGGGAAATGCTAGCAAAATAACTGCTCGGTGGGTGGAAATTTCAGATCTTAGCATCCCCTTCATCATGCCGTGCCGACATTTTGTAACATAAATAAAAGACTTTTAGGAAAATCAATGCCTGGAAGTTCTTTGAAGTATTTCATTAGCTGGAACCCTGACATGCGGTATATAAGTCTAAGTGCTATTGCTATTGTAACCACCAGTTATTCTGATTTAGAATAATTATTTTAATCTCAGCAGGAATTTACGCAGTCTGTGAGGGGCAAATACTTTTTGGATAAATTAAGAAAACTGCCTCTGAGGAAGGGAAAGTATAAAGTTGGGTTAAGGATTGTGAAAGTATTTTGAGTGTAATAGTTGTCCAACAAGGCATAATATTTTTAAAAAAGGTTATGAATGTAAGGGGTCCTTGGTTTTTTAGCTTGTTTTCTTGAAGACGTTTCATTACCCAAACTAGATAACATCATCAGTGCTAGTAAGGAGTGTGGTTTGCTGCCCGTTTATATTCTAGTGGCTTACCCTGTCAGCGTTAGTGAGGGTGGTCTTAGAGCAGGGGTGTCAAACTCGCAATGTTACATGACGTGTCGCGACGTATCGTGACTTTTTTTCCATTGCCGACAATGGAGGGGTGCGGTTTTGGCATGAGGCATCCGGCCCATGGGCCGGCAGTTTGACACCCCTGTCTTAGAGGTTCTTTGGTTGGGCTGTTTACTATTAACTTGTATGGCAGTTCCTTGATTGGGGTATTGTTTACTTGACTGTTGATCTGATGTTAAACTTGGAGATAATCTGTGCTCATCTGGGTCCTGATTTTTGGTGGGGAGGTGTTTTGGGTTTTTTGTTCATTTTTGGCTTGTTTATTCTCTTTTGCATAGTATGTAGATATTGTTTCTGTCTATGTATCTATTGGTGGTTAATTTGTCAGAGTGCCAGGCTCCTAGAAATTCCCTACTGCTCTTTTGACTTGACTTGGTCTAGGATGGTCACAGTTTCCCAATTGAAATCATGGTTAAGTTTGCCCGTATGTTGTGAAATTAAAGAGTTTTCATCGTGTCTTCTGACTGCTAGTTGGTATTCAGGGATGCATTCTGCCGGTCTTCTGCCTGTTTGTCCTATGTAATGGCTATTGCAATCATTACGCTGTATGTTGTCAATGACTCCTGTTTTTTCTTCTGAGACTGCTGGGTCTTGTGGTTTGCTTAGGATGTTTTGAAGGGCTTTAGTTGGCCAAGCAAGCCAACAGTAAACAGGCCAACCAAAGAATATCTAAGACCATCCCACTAACACTGACAGGACAAGCCATTAGAATATAAACTGAGAGCAAACCCACTCCTTACTAGCACTGATGATGTTACCTAGTTTGGGTAATGAAATGTCTGCAAGAAAACAACCAAGCTCAGAAAACACCAAGGACCCCTCATTTCAACCCTGAGCTACAGATATTCTTCTTTATTGCATATATATATGCAATATCTGAGCTACAAATATTCTTCTTTATTGCATATCTATCTATCTACCTACCTACCTACCTACCTACCTACCTACCTACCTATCTATCTATCTATCTATCTATCTATCTATCTATCTATCTATCTATCATCTATCATCTATCATCTATCTACCTATCTACCTATCTATCTATCATCTATCATCTATCTATCTATCATCTATCTATCTATCTATCTCTATCTATCTATCTATCTATCTATCATCTATCTATCTATCTCTCATCTATCTATCTATCTATCTATCTATCTATCTATCATCTATCTATCTATCTATCATCTATCTATCTATCTATCTTTCTTGAGTTTGGTGCACCCTGTCGGCCCAAATATGGGAGAAAGGAATCTGGTTGAAAAGAACTAAAAAGTTCAAAATGGCTATTCCAGTTCTCCCTTAATTCTTTGTTAGCAATCCAAATTTTGAAAAACATATATATATATATATAGCTGTACCCGGCCACGCGTTGCTGTACCTCAGTCTGGTTAAATGGAAAAGAAAGAAAAGAGTTTTTACCTGTAACAGGTGTGACATCTATATAATAGTAGGTATATAAAAACACGCGCGTATTCGAATGCAACGTTGTGTTAAAATTTCAAAGCAATCGGTGAAGAACTTTCGGAGATTTAAGATTTTGAACAAACGAACATTTACATTTTTATTTATATAGAATATATATATATACTTTCATATTATGACTGCTTCTAAGCTTCCCCTCTCCAGTACAGTTAGAAAGGGAGACGTAAGATCTTCCATAGGTGAGAAGAATTATCAACAGATTCCATTCCTTGTATCCCATTCAGGATTTAATCCTACAGAATTCTTAATACTGTGTACTTATATGTAGAAGTAGTCCTCATTTAATGACTGCACTTGGTATCAGTGATATGGTCTCTAAGTGACATGGTCACTAAGCAAATCACATGACAGAGAGACTGCAAAGATTAATGGTTGCTGCCATCTCATTTAGATAACCCTTTTCTGTGTCCTGTGCTGGACCCATTTTTCCCTCCACCATTTTTGCTCCCTGTGGCAGGACAGAGAGATTGCTATCTGCAGCTGAGCAATACAGCAATTCCATAAAAAAAGTGCTAACCTCAAGTTAACAAGTTCAACTCTGGTATCTTAATTGGTTGATTAGAACTCTCCCTGGGACTCTGCTGCCTGAAACTGACCAGATCTTAATTAGTTTCACTCTGAAGTCTTTTATTGTCATAAGTGCATGGAGTGCTTGGAAAAATGAAATCTTTATTACTGCTTATTACTGTCATTTATGAATAGTCGCTATCCAAGGCAGTGACTGAATGAGAACTACCTGTACCTTGATTTTTGTTTTAAAATCTCTACGGAACGACAACCTTTTGTTTATTTTTTAAAACTAATCATGTAGTGTGCACACTGAAGTAGATACACTGCATAGAATTTTCTGCTTTTCTTCCTTCCCCCCCCCCCCCATTGTGTCAAGCCTAAAAGTGTAACGGTGTATATGCAAAGACAATATTTTTTTTAATCTGTAAGCCACTTGAATACCTTGTTCTGCAGACAAAGCAGGGTATAAAAATTTTAAATGCAAACAGACAAACAAACAATAGATTCCCTGCACGTTTGATCTGAAAGAAAATGGAGCCAACTTTATTATGGACATTAAAAAGCCTTGTTTGTCGTTCAGGTTTACTATCTGGGGCAAAAAGGTTCCCCTTTCTCTTTCTTCTGTTGGTAAAGAAGACAACTTTTCAAAAGTCCCTGAGCTGAAGATGTTTGAGAATGAAGACATGGAAGATATTGTGATTATCTCTGAAGGCATAATGGAGGAATACTTAGCATTTGACCACAGAGATGTGTAGGTATTGAACACATTTCACAACATAAGTAGTGACTTTACAACGACCTAGAATTGTATGTTTCTTCTTAACATTAAAAAAGATACACTGTGCCAAACAGTGTATAAACCTGTAAGATTTTTTTCCTTTTTTAGTTTTGAATATAGAAAACAATTATTCTCTTTTCAGTGTTACCTCTTGATGGAAATCTATTATTTATTTTGTAAAAGATGTAGCCATCCACAGAACACAACTCTTAAGTGGCTCCCAACATTAGTTAAAAACCAGAAAATGGTAAAAACAAAAGCCTGGTGCCTGAGCAATCCCCCTTGCATGAATCCAATACAAACATTCCCAGTTTCCTGCCTCATCCTATTCCAGCCCTTGGGGAAGAGCCAGCTCTTTCTGGCCTTCCAGAAGGCTAAAAAGGTGGGGGCCTGCCAGGTCCCGCCAGGAAAGGCGTTCTGCAGGAACCTATGGAAAAGGCATGTACTTTTGTAATATACAATATCAACTTTCTTTGTACTCAGCCATGAGATGATGCATCGTCATGTAAGTGACGGGCCGTGGAAGAGACTGGCCAGTGCGTGCACTCACCCCCACTTGCACTAGCGCTGCTGCTGCTACGCAAATGGGGCGCCGCGGGACGAAAACGGTGCCGTGTGGCAAAAACGGGGCAGTGCTAATGAGTATCACGCGGGCGCTAGCATTGCCCCGTTTGCATCGCATGTGCTCGCGGCCTTTGTGTGTGTGTGCGTGTGTGTAAAATGCTTCCCCCTCCCTTTCCCTCCGGTCCACCAACTGAGAAAGGTTGGAGACCTCTGCTTTAGCTGCTGGCTAAATAATTATTTGTGATCACGCAAGGCAGTCACCATCTTTACTACAGAGCTGCAGTTAAATACAGTCAAATGGAAATTTGCTTTATTTTCATTAAACAGTTAATGTTAACATGTAGCTATTGTTGTGAGTACACTAAGAAATTTAAAGCATGTTTTCAATTAAAACATTAGCATTAAAATTAATACTAATTGGGCAAAACATCTTTGGGATGTTTTTGAGAAACATTGGGGGGGGGGATGTATCTTTATAGAAAACATTTAGAAGGTTATCAAGAAAATGGCCTAAATGGAACTCCTGAAATAAGTACATTTTATGCTCTCAAAAAAGTGCAAGAAGTTCCAGCTCCTAAGTACCTGAAAGACTGGCCTCCGAAAATAGAACAGCTTTTATAAGAGTATCTGGCCAGACTTAATTACTGGATAAGTTCATAAAAGGTGAGGTGATCTTTTAGGCCAGCAGAGCTTTAAAAGTAACAAATTGTTTTGATAGGCAGATCTTTACAGTCATAGATTGTATAATGCCCTGTACCCTGCACTAGTTGGTTGCTGCATTTTGCAATAATTGTGATTTTAAAACATTTTTCAGGGATAGCTTCACATAGAGCGTGTTCGAGCTGGGATGTAATCAAGATGTGGATCACTGCCAAATTGTTGGTTGACCAGGAGCACAACACCTCTTGCAAGTTAAGCAATTGCTGAAGATTAAGGACTACTCGCAGAGAGTAGAAGTTTCCTTTAGGGAATTACAACTCATCCAACTTTCTTATTTAGCTCCAGTACTTCTGATTCAATTAGAATCCGTTTGGTTTTCCTCATTAGGAAACCAGTGCTGGAAGTTTCTATTCTGTTGGGGCATTGGATGGTGAGGGGCAGTAGATATTATCTAGCAGCAAAGCCTGTTGTGAATTCCTTGGGTGATTGCTTGACTTCAGAGATGTCTTAACAGCGGAAGGGATTCAATCAGATGGTTCAGTTCCTCCTATAAATAGTGGAGAAGACCTCTAATAGTTATTGTTTTCCAATTTCTGTTTCCAAATCCCAGTTCAGTAGATAAGATGGAGCTCTGTGAGAAGCTGTCGGTCAACAGTTTAAGTACCGAACAGCTGTAATATTTACATGCTTTTTTCAAAGGGAAGAAGAATTGCACGAATGGAAAATGGGACTTTCACCAGCCCGACGGAAATTAGGCTTTCCTCCAATCTCACCATCGTGTTGTATGAGAGATGCAGTTCTTTCTTTTGTATTTGATGATGTGTGGAGCGAAGTCTTGGGCTACATGGAGCAGCTAATCTGCAGGCATTGGGAAGGTCCAACATCAGGTTTGTCTTTATGCTGCAATTCTGCCTGTATAACGCAGGGATGTCCAAGCTTGGCAACTTGAAGACTTGTGGACTTCAACTCCCAGAATTCCCTAACCAGTATGGCTGACTGAGGAATTCTGGGAGTTGAAGTCCACAAGTTTTCAAGTTGCCAAGCTTGGACACCCCTGGAATAATGGATGCCTCTTTCAAAAATTCTTTTCCCCAAAATAATTTTAATACAGATATAGCATTAGTAATTATGTTCTTTTGTAATATGACATGGACTTGAATATAGTTTGGAGATAGTAAATCACATTTTAAGAATGTATTTGACAGTGTTCAAGCAGGTGTTAAAATAGTATTGGGCTTTTTGATGCTATATTTGGAGCTTTTCTATCTAATAATTTAGTATTAATATTTTAAGCTATGCTTGACAAATTTATTTTATTTATATTCTGTTCTTACAAACTATTACTGGACTAGAACTGTGTATTTTCCTTTAAAGATGTTTCTGCTCACAAGGCAGGGTGGCATTTGTTTGGGAGTTGAAAGAAGACACAGATTCCATTTAGTGCACATCCCTAGCTGCTTCTGCAAATGACAGGATTAGATACTTAAAATATGAGAAACAATCTATGTTGTGACTCTTGAGGTCTTATTATTTCGTTTCATAAGCAGCTGTGTGCATACAACTCCTCATAATAGTGGGCTTTGAAACACCCCCCCCCCCGATAAAAATAATTACTGCATGAATGATTCCTAATCAAATTTAGTGAGAATATTGTGCTACATTTAATTTCTTTAATCTATTGATGCTTGTTAAATTAGCAAGTATTAAATAAATTTTCAAGTGTAACCAAGTATTGCTGTAGCTCTTTAAGAAATTATGAGAGAAATCAGGCTGTAGGTTTTTTAATATCTGAAAACTTTGCCTGTAAGGATCTCGGTCAAATAATGCCTCTTGTCATTTGTTTGGGATATTGGTAGATGATGGGAAGAATGTCATTTCTGTGGAAGCAAACAGAACAGATTCAGGGAGTCCTTTTATGCAGTTTGAACCTTTGCCTTTGGTTTTACCTCGGATGCCACAAACCAAGATGCCCTCTATTCCTTCAAATCTGGTAAGTTTTAATACTTGACCAACTGTCCTTCCAAAATGTTTTTTTTTGTCATGTGTTATCACACCTTTTAGCAGTCTCTGTCTTGTGCTGCAAATGTTCTTATATTTTGAGAATAGAGTTGGAACATAAGCATTCAGGTTTTTTTGAGAATATTGTGTGAGGTTTTGATTAAGCATAGAAGATGTTAGTTTTGATTCTACTCAGTTTAACAGAGATCAGAAAGGAGCATGATTCCTTTACTTTAAAGTTAACTACCGGTAAGTTAATCTCTTTGAGTTAAAGTTAACTAAGTTAATCTCTTTGAGTTTCTCACTGTGCATACTCTGCAAGTATAGGGGCATTCTGTAATAATATTGTATTAGTGGTTTAATTCAGTTTTTTCCTTTTTCTTTTTCCTTCTTTTTCTTTCATTTCCTATAATCCTTTTGTATAACTTATCGTATGTACTCAAAAGGCAGATCCAGCCAGCCCAGTTGCTCGTCAGATCCCCATTGCTTGGGAATGAGTAGACAGTACTTACAAAGAGTAGAATTTAACAGTGTTATTATAAATATCTCCTTACAAAACTGGCATAAAAACATAGCTGGCATTTATGTTATATTTACGTAATTGCTTCCAAAATTAAAGCATCTTTTCTCTATGTTGCTTATTGCATAATAATTGGGAGCAGTTCCTTTACAGTTATAGAAAATAACATTCTCTTTTCTTATCATTTTTAGTAGAAATGGCCAATGGGAATGAACTATTGCAAATTAACTTTGTTGTTGTTATTGTTTAATTATGATCTAATTTATTTTTTTCTAATCTACAGGTAAATGTTTCTCAAGGTACAAATGCTGGTCCACAACGTAATTTGAATGGCTTGATGGTAATTCATGGGATTCCCTTACATCAGAGGAACTTGCCCTTGATGGATAAAATATTGTAAGAATTTACAAGAATTTTTTTTTCTGCATAAAGCTGGCTTTCCAATTAGGAAGATGAATCTGAAATATTCAATGCTTGGTTTTTGTTCAGACAGATATTTTAGAGTTGACTTTTGAATTTTTTTTTCTTCTTGCATCCTATGGAAAAGGAATACTTCTGCAAATAATTAGTCAGATAACTAGTTAAAACATGTCTAATGTTAATGCATGTTTATATTAGATTGTATTAAACCAGTAAGGATGTCGATTTCTTTTAGTTTAAATGCACAATTTATTACATTGTAGACTTGGGATCCTTATGTATCATATGCTTTAATAAAGATAGTTGATTAAATATAACTAGATATTGATAACTGACAGGAGCTGAAATTTAAATACAAGGATAAAATTGTATAAGATAGTGTGAAGATAAAGATTCCCTTGCATTGGGCTTGATTGCTATAAAATGTCTATACAATTTTCTTGGCAACAATACAGAAGGGAGTTAGCAGGGCTGTCTTCTAGGATGTCATTTGTTGATGATCTTCCCTCCAAGTTCCAGTTAGGTCTGATACTGCTTAGCTTTAGGATCAGCCAAGATCAGATATGTTTTGCTATTTAGTATGTCATGGTACAGAAGCCCTAAATAGTGTATACTACCATACTATTTTCACAAAGCTGAAAATAGAAAATATTGGAAATATAAATAAACTTACCTCAACTTTGTAAAAATGAATATCCATTAAATTCTTGTAGATATCCATTAGGTGTTGGTGGAACTAATATTTTTTCCAGCAGCTGGCTAGGAGCAGAGTGTTTTTTTCTTAAACAAACCTATGGAACAAACTTACAGTTCATTGCTGTATAAACAATTTGTATGAATAGCTACCTATTTATCAATAAAATCCTACTAATTTTAAGTTTCTTATTTAATAAGGTTGTTCAGTGCCATGGCAGTTAAGCCAGAATAGGCTATCATTAACATTTTTTTTGCTTTTAATACAGTCTTAGTTGGGAAAGGAACAACATTTGTCAGCAGTTTATATCTCTACGCTTTATGGAGCAGAAAGATGATTCATTTGTAATGATATACTAGATAATTTACCCAAATGCTATAAAAGTTGATTAATAGTTGATTGTATCCTTGTGCCTTTTCTCCTTGTCTTGGTTTTAGAGACTACGATGAAAGAATGCTTATGAGACCAGGATCCAGTTCTATCTTGTCAACTAGAGCTCGGCCAAATCGTCCCCTTGAGCTCAGTGCATCTTCTCTGTCCTACTGTGCACAGTCGGCGAGGAGGCGTAACCCCCCACCACGTACCCTGCATCCTATCAATGCCAGCCTTTCTCGCTCAGGAACCCCACGACCCTTAGATGATGTCATCAGGGGAACGCGACTGTATGTTGAGATATAAAATTAGTTGAATTCCTTCCTTCTGCTATTATTTGCTGACTGATTTGGTAAATTTATGGAGCCACCTATCTCATATACATGACTCGGAGTGGTGTACAGAGTTATCAAACACGAAATGACACAATCAAATAGCCAAAACTCCACCAACAATAATAATTAAAAGCTTTTAAAAATCATTTAAAAAGATACGGAACTAAAATGTGTAGAAAGTGGAAATGGTGTAGATGAACAATAAAATAGGAGGGGGAAAAAGAGGGGGAGAGGAAAGGGGGGAAAAATGAATGTAACTTGAGCCATATCTGTAATAGGGCATATTTTTAAAAGGGGTGAAGGTGAATCTATAATCAAGGAAAATTGGTGTTATTAAGACCAGAAATAGGATTAAATTGCACAAAATATGCTTCCCAAAGTTATGTGGAAACCAAATAGAAAAGTAAAAATGTAAGCTAACCTACCTGCAAAGTACTCCAGATTCTAACTATTTTGCAATTGGAATTAAATTACTGTTATTATTTAGTACCATCAAGAATAAAATCTGATTGGATTTTATCTTGATTTTCCCCCCTTCATAATACTTGTTGCTCTTCCATCTTTTGTCCTAAAGCTTTTTTATTAGCTTCTTTTAAACCTTCTAATAGGTTTTATTAGAAAATTTATATGGCTACCCAACTCACAGTGACTCTGGGTAGCTTATAGAAATAAAACTCACCCTCCTGGCGACAACATCAAAGCTGCTTTTTTAACCTCTGGCAGTGAGGGAATATATCGTGCAGTAAAGAGGTGCAAAGGAATAGCAGGTTTAGAGCCTGCTTTGAGTTCAGTGTTGAACTAAGAGATCGGATTGTAGGAGATTGGCTGCTGAAGCCTTGGTTAATTGCAGCAGCTACATTATCTTCCATTCTCCAGACTCAGAGAGAACAGTAATCATCTCTTGAAGTAATCCAGTACGGATCTAGAAGTATTATAAGTATGACCCCATTGCAACTTGGAAACAGTGATGAATTACGTCAGGAGCGTATGGCATCTGCTCATTGGGTGGATAAATGCCAAAAGCTAAAAAAGGTGATAATAAATGTTGGCCTCACAAATTGCGAGTTGAAAACACTTTGTTAAATGCTGCAGACCAGGGGTCCCCAACCTTGGCAACTTTAAGACTTGTGGACATCAACTCCCAGAATTCCCCAGCCAGCCATGCTGACTGGGGAATTCTGGGAGTTTATTTATTTATTTATTTATTTAATCCCATTTATACCCCGCCCTTCTCCCGAGGGACTCAGGGCGGCTTACAGGTAAATAAAAATAGTACAATACAATAAATATCTCTAAAAGCCAAATTAAAATATTTATTAAATAACCTGTATTAAGTTTAATATTATAAAATCCCTATAAAATCCCCCCCTAGGCCAATCCCGCTTGATGGAAAAGCCATGTCTTGAGGGCACGGCGGAAGGAGGGGAGATCCGGAATAATCCGGATCTCTGGGGGGAGTTCGTTCCACAGGTCCACAGGTCTTAAAGTTGCCAAGGTTGGGGACCCCTGCTGTAGACTTTAGAAGCAAAGCTTGTCTCACTTTTTTTTTTTTTTTTTTGCCTGTTTTTTGCATCTGAATTATGGTACTCCTTTCAGGCAACGTAAGGATGGATGACTAATTTATTTATTTTTATTTCAGCAAAATTAGACTAATTAGAATTCATCTTGGTGCATCTGAATAGTCTTGTACATTATTTGAGACAGATGCATGCTAGTATAAAAAGTGAGCACCGGGAAGCGAATTGCAAGAGTACCCAGGTGGCCCACAGAGATTCACTTGGAGATTTTAGACTCTCTTTTTTAGCATAACCTATCACACCGGATTGTTAATTTGCAGAGAATTAGGAGGACGAAGTGCTGTGCATATCAACTTCCGCTCTGAGCAAAGGGCAAGATGGAAATCAAATAAGTAAAACCATCCCGTCGTTACTTAGTTATGAAAGTTAAAAAAAAATAGAGGGTTTAACTTTCCTGTAGATCAGGGTTTCTCAACCTCGGCAACTTTTATTTATTTACTTGTATTTCATGTTTCTAAACTGCCCTCCTCTCTCAAACTCCACTCATCTTAAAAGTTGCTGAGGTTGAGAAACACCGTTGCAGATAATTGTTACACTTTTTGCAAACAATTTTGTTCTTAAGTTAGGGGGGAAATTGATTATGACCACTTAGAATTATGGTTTTATGTACTACTAGAACAGGGGTGGGGAACGTTGGCCCTTTTATGACTTGTGGACTTCAACTCCCATGCTGGCTCAGGAATTCTGGGAATTAAAGTCCACAAGTCATAAAAGAGCCAAGGTTCCCCACCCCTGTACTAGAAAGAAACCTTGATAAAATCATGATACCGAGAGTCGTGGCATAAGAGATGGGTGGCAAGCAAATTTCATATTTGCACACATTTTTCATCTCCACTGAAATGCATCTAATGTGGAGTTCACCATTTGCTTAGTCTTTAACTAGCAAGAGCTACCGTTGTCGATTGCATCATTTAAAGAAGTTCGTGTCAGCCTTATGGAATTGGACAGTTTGTAAGAACTGCTGGGGTTTTTTTTCCAGCTCTGCTGCAAATGAGCAGCTGTCATCATCACCTTCTCCAATGCCATTAAGCAGAAATAATCTCCTGCCTCCTATTAGTACCATAGAAGGGACAGAACATGTAGTATCCCAAAAGCAAATGGTAAGTCAGTTGCTTTTTTTTTGTTTGTTTGTTTCTTGGTTCCCCTGTAGATTATCTCTGATAAAAAAAAAGAATGTAACATTTTAAAATTACTTTTGAGTTTTAAATTACAGGGTTTTCATTAGTGGCTTTCAGGGATTTTTTTCCCCTACAAATACTCATTGAAATATGCTAACAAAAGCCTAAAATAATGGGATGTATTATCATTGAGAGATGCTATAGGTCAGGAGGTAGATGATCTAGAAACTGAACAATAGTGATGTTGTTTGGGAATTAGGTGGAGTTCAACTCAGCTGTCCAGTAAGGCTGATTGCTGTGATTCATGACAACACTTGTATTTCTTGTATTATGCGTACAGATACTTCCAATTTTTCACTTTATGTGGAACTATAATATCTCTTAAATAAGGCTTTTAAACTTCATAGGCATCACTGAACCTGGGCCAAGATGATCACAACACCTACATCCCAAATTCTATATTTTGGGTTAAATTCAATTGGTAGGAAAGCTGGATTAAATATTCATATGCATCCTCTCTTTAGCCAAGCATCTGAGAGTTAGAACTGTTTATACTATAAATGATGCTTGTTTCCAATTTTTTTAATAGCTCTTTTGGATATAAAACCATTTTTTTCTCTTCGTGTTTCAGAAATCCCGGGTAAATGTTAACCGGGCTCGAAGTGCAATAGCAGATGACATCAGCCATCAACCGGTTCACGAGAAATTTTTATTACCTGAGAGTTTTTCCAGGCCTAATACGTCACATGCATTTTGGGTAAGGTGTAACAAAATTACATTCATACTAGAATAGAGTTCCTTCTTTTGGAGGCCTCTCAGGAAAATGCCAAGATGTATAGGTTGTCTGAAGGGAGAGTATGTGCAATATTTAATGCTAGTACAGGTCATCCTCAACTTATGACCACAACTGAGTCCAACATTTCTGTTACTAAGTGAGACATTTGTGTTAAGTGAGTTTTGCCACATTCTACGACTTTTCTTGCTGCAGTTGTTATGTGTTCAGTAAGCCACATAGTTGTTAAGTGAATCTGACTTTGCTTGTCAGAAGGTTATAAAAGGTGATTACATGACCCAGGGGCACTGCAACCGTCATAAATATGAGTCAGTTGAATTTTGATCCTGTGACCGCTGGGATGCTACAACAATCATAAGGGTGAAAAAATGGTCACGTCACTTTTTTCAGTGCCGTTGTAACTTCAAACAATTACTAAATGAACTGTTGTAAGTCAAGGACTACCTGTATAACTCTTCAGGCAACCTTAACAGGAAATGTCCCACATCAAGCAGAGAGATTTATTTGCATCCAAATAAATACCAGTATGTGTTTCCTTTGGAGAGTAACCTGGAGACCTACCTCTATGCATTTAGGATGGTAGGAACCATGAAAATTCTGCTGAATATTTTGAATTTGTATGATTTGATCCAGGACCTGATGCAATAATTTTATTTGAACCTTTTAGCCAGAATCACAATATCGTCGTTCTTGCACTGTTATTGATTATGCTAATCAGCCACGAAATAATAAAGGATCTGCTGGTACAGGTAGGTTGATAATTAAATATTTTTTTAAAATGACAATTTAATGTAGAGCAATTAACACAAAGAGACTTCAATACTGGAATCTTTATTATTCGACAGATTCTGTCAACGTAGGTGTCATGGGAACCAGTTTAGGGATATCTAGCTCTTCCTATATTAATTCTTTCCACCACCAGCCTCTTGGTCATTTTCTTGATGAAGATGAGGAAGATAAAGATGATCATCCTCCTCTGGGTAAGAAGTAAAGAAACAGATTTGGGAATGTACATCATCGGTTTGGTTGCAAGTCATAAAAAAAATTGGCATCTTTTTGGAAATGTGTTTTGTCTTTTTTGCCTAAAGTTTATTTCTTAAGCTGGAATAACATTTTAAATCTGTTCAGGACACATTCCAGGGTTTGTTCCCATTCAGCTTATTCTGTCAGTTTAACAAAAGAGGGTAGCAGCCAGACTGTGATTTCAGAAAGACAAATTGTAACCTGTCCTGCTGAGTTATGTTATGCCACATAAGAATAAAAACTACAGACAGATGATAAGTAGACTTAGCTCAGTTGCTAGAACCTGAATATCAGAAATGATTCTTATTCAAACACAAACTAGTTCTGGTTTTAATTGACAAAACACGGCCGTGTAGTTTTGCAGAGAAGCTTGGTTCACACAAGATGTGGTCTTGTGCAAAAGGCTGATACAGATGCACGCTTGAAAAATCTACAACGGGTTTATTGTCTTGATGTCTTGCAGGCAGTAATGATGTTTTTTTACGGGTACAAAGTAGACTTGAATTGTATAGTTACTTTCAAGCCTTATCTCATTCTTGCTTAGTAGGTCTTCAATTATATGGTTCTGTAAGAACTCACAGTCGAGCTGGATCACGAAACAAACAAGGATTGTAAGCCATCTATCTCCAAGAGGGAGACTCTACTGAAGCTTTTGAAAGCAGTATTAAACGACAGCAATATCAAATCCGTTTACAGAAGAATTTGCAATTTTTCTTTAGAAGAGTCTTCTTTTTGTATAACAACTGCCAAAGACTACATTTTTGCATGAGAATTTTGTATCAGCAGAAACTCACCCTCTGTTTTTATGGAGCACTAAAAGTTTGTGTTCTGTGGAACTCCATGATCATGCTGTTGGTATGTTCTGTTACAAAACGTCTGGCTGAAGAATGCAGTGGCAATACTGGTTAAGATTCAATGACTTGCAAATTATTCATACTTAATAGCAATATGTTTAGCAATATTATTTACAATGATATTAAATTTGATTATTGCTTGGCCTGCACCTCCAGTAGTTTCCCTAAATGTTTAAACAGTTGAAGGTTACATTGCTAGTTCACGTATTTGGAAAAAGTTGGTATTTGAAAGGTGACCAGGATTAAACACAGTATATTTGAATTAATTTATGTATTTCAATGTAGGATACCATTATTTCCCAATTAAATCCATACATGTTTAATCACTTTATAATAATGCTAACTTTGGCTAAGATTGTAAGGCACCACTTTAGTTGTGCATTCTTCAACTGTAGTCAATATACAATATCCTTTTTAAGTAAGTAAAAAAGTTTGGTAAAAACTTTTAAGAAACTTTTTCACCATGTAGTCAAATTTAACAGTTTAGGGTTTTCTTGTTGGGAAGACAGAATATTTTCTACATTTTGTAGGAGATAAGCCTGGTGAGGTAATAATCTAGAGATAGATAAAAACATAGCAACCTGAATATTGTGTTTAATGTCTAACATAATTTTGATGTAATTCAACAAAGACTAACTAGTAAGATGAACTAGTAAATACAAACCATTAACTGCTGAAGCTATGTATAAAATAAAGGTAACTTTGCATTTTCCCTGATACCATGTAAGAGATGTAAAAGAAACAAGATAGGGAAAGAGACTTATTAAGTTGTAAAATGGAGACTATTTTGTATGCAAATAAAAACATTTTCTAGATTGTATTTGAGTTGAAATTATCAGAGCTGAGGCCTACCTCCTGGATTTAAAAGTGGTAGAAATTGGAAATGGAAAAATGAATTTCCAGAACATTTTAACATTTTTCGTTCTATTTTTTTTTCCACCAAAGAGCTAAAGGTGGGTAAGTATGCTATGTAGTTTTAACTTCAAGGCAGTTCTGTGTAACAGGGTAGGCTGAAAACAACTGGCTCAAGGTCATAAATAATAATAATAAACCCTTTATTATCAAAATATAACATGTATACAGTGAAATTGGCTGAGCCTCCCTCTGTGCCCCCCCCACCACAAACTCACGGTGACTACAAACCCCCAACTTATTTCACTGTGAACTAATTGCACATCACGCCGGCCTCGCGAGAGTCTGTCATGCATAAAGTTATAAAGTTATGTCCCATTCAGAAGCCTGACAGCCCATGGATAAAAGCTGTTCTTCAGCCTGTTGGTACGGCTGGCTATGTTTCTGTATCTCCTACCCGATGGTAGGAGAGTAGAGGTACCGACCAGGGTGTGAGTCATCCCTGAGAATTTTCCTCACTCTGCCAAGGCAACGGGCCCTGGCGATGTCATCTAGTGGAGTCAGGGAACAGCTCACGATGTCTTGTGCCGTGCTCATCACCCTCTGCAATATCTTCCCGTCCGCGGCTGTCAGGCCAGCATACCAAACCACAATACAGTATGTGAGAACGCTTTCTATAGTAGACCAGTAGAAGAGGGTCATGAGTCATCGTTCTACCCTGTTCTTCTGCAAAACCCTGAGGAAGTGGAGTCTCTGTTGGGCCTTTCTGGCCACCTGGGCTGTATTAGTTTTCCAGATAAGATCTTCACAGAGGTAGACTCCCAGGAATTTGAAGGAGGAAATTCCACACAGTCCCCTCCAGTGTAAAGTGGGGCAGGTTCCTCTCTTTTCCTCTGGAAGTCTAGCACCATCTCCTTTGTCTTGCCAATGTTCAGGTGTAGGTTGTTCTCTAGGCACCATGAGGATAGTTTTTGTACCTCCCCCCTGTACGCTGTCTCATCTCCACCTGTAATGAGACCCACCACGGTGGTATCATCTGCGAACTTGATGATCGCAGTGGATGGGTTGGATGATACAGTCATATGTGTACAATGAGTACATGTAGGGGCTAAGCACGCAGCCCTGTGGGGTTAGTATGTATGTATGTATTTGTATAGCCACTTGTATATGTGATTCTGAGCAGCTTATAGTTAAAAAGCACAAATCAATACAACAAAACAACCAAAAATTGTAACAAAAATTATTAAAAACTTTAAAAACTTTTAAAAAACAAATCATAATTTACCAGCAATCACATTGTTTCCCTAGCAATACAGCGACTTTGTAGACTCCATATGCACGTTACCAGATCCCCAGGCCAGGCAGCAAAACCACATTTTCAGACTTTTCCAGAAGGCCAGTTAGGTTGGGTCCAATTTGACATCAGGGTCAGTGATATTCCAAAAGGGGAGGAGGGGGGTGTCACAGCAGAAAAGGCTCTCCTCTTGGGACCCATCAGATGACATTGCTTTGGATGAGGTCCCAACATCACCTCCTTCCTGCTGGACCTGAGTGGATGTGATTGGGAAAGAGGCAATACCTCAAATATATTTCTGTCTCTCTGATGTAATGTTACAGGTGAACGTGGCTAAAGAATACTTGCTGCTCTTGGAGTTCCTTTAATAATGGCATCAATATTGTGTTAATTTTCTGCTAGAGCCATCAGGGCGTTTTCATTTGTTGGTATTGCACCTCCCATACAATCAAGCAGCAGGATTAGCCTGCTGACTCAGATTGTCTGAAGAAATCCTGACTTCTCCAGTCACACTTAACAATAACAATTGTAGTAGTTTTATTAATGTTTTACAGCAAATAATCAGACTATTTCCTCTTCTATTATAAAATGTTATGGGCAAAAATGCGGGGTTATTTTATGGCATTTGTGGAGGCTCCCTCAACAGGAAAAATTGGTCACAGTCCCACTTTACTTAGCAATAATGCTTTTATAGATTTTATCAAGCTCTCATTTGCAATTTTTCCTATTTTGATCCCTAAACTGGCTTCCTTTTTCTGAGTTGTGCAAGTTGGTTTCCTTCACTCCACCACAGACATACAAAAATATGTGTGTTGCTTAGGAAGAACAAATTGCCTGAATAACATATTAAAGCAGCATTGCCTCTTCTATCAAGAAATGAAAACTGATTTTTTTTCCAGGAAGGGGCAGTAAGAAAATGACAGTTTATGCACAATATTAAGCCACTCTTTCAATTGTAGTTTTATGAGAAAGAAAATTAGGTTTCATACATTAAATAAGCCATATATCTTTATTACCTATAAATTTAGCTAAAAACTAAATGGATAGGGGAAATAATGCATCTGGTTGAGGAATACAATGGATGCAGATACTTACTCTCAAGAAATGGAAGAAACACCTATGCTTTTGGAATATATTGAGTCTGCTTTTGTGCTGTCTCAATGGTTAGGAAACTTTGCCACTGAAATTCAGTAATGTGCTCAGTTTGATTACAGCCCTGGGAATCCAAGTCACATGGGTCTATGCACATAACCCTTGTTTTCCTCTCCATATCTAATGTTCTCAGGGTTGGGGTTAGTATATTTGTTGTGTTATGACTATTTGTTTTAATCTGAGCTGTTACTTTTGCTGCCATTATATAGTCTGATATTGAAGGTCATCCAGAGTCTATTAGATTGGGTAGCTATAATAAATAATTCTGTTTAAAAATCAGAATTAATTTCTATGCTCACATTGGCTATGGTTTAGAAAGCTGACTTCATTTTGAGTAGCTGACCTGTTGATTATGCAATCTTCCAGTGCATTGCTTTTGCTTTTACAACAGCTTTCATTCCTATATTGCTCTCAACCTGCAAGACTATCTGATTTTACAGTAACAGTTTTGCTTCATGTTTGTATTTGCTGGGCATATTTTTGCCTTATGCTTATAAAGAGATATTGGAAGAGATATGATTAGAAAGGTAAGTATTACTTTCCCCATCCCAGCCAACCTGGGTTTGAGCATGTCAAACTGATTGGATATAGGTTGCCATAGCCAGCATTTCTTCCAGAATGGAAGAGTTAAGATATTCAAAGACTGATCCCCAGCTGTAATCATACATAAGCCAGAAGGACAATGCACACTCTTCTTTAAGTCAGATGTATTCAGAGAATTCATGCCCTTGCAAACACTGGTACAATTGCATATAATTGCTTTAAAGAAATTTTCTCTTCCTGATCTCAAGTCTCACTGCATTAAAGTTAGTAAAGATTTCAGTTCATGTAGCACTATTAAAATTACTTGTAGAGTTGTTAGAAATGTTTAAAATATATAGTTCTTATGTATGCATACAAACTACCATCATTTTGGACTCAAGGCACTACTGTTACTGTGAAAAGGTGACTTAACAATACATCATTTCAAAATGTTTCCAAATACCTGTAAGTTTCACCTACAATGTTTCTGGTACACTTCTGAAAACAATTTAAATTTAACAATTTGCTCATTTTTTAATTTTAAAGAAGGTTTTACATTCAACTCAGCAATAGGTGAACAATATTATTCTACAGAAATATAGTATGGTAAGGATTTGATCAAGTTTTCTGTGTAGAAAGGCTGTTCCTACAAAATGTTCACAGCTATTTTGCTGGAAATTTGCTAATTGTATCTAAAATCCTGCTGCACTTTTTGTTTTACATCAATTAACTGCTGAAAGTGTGCTGCGAATTAGGGGTAAATGAAAATCAGTCATTTTTTAGCAGTTGCTTTCTTTCTTCCTTTTTTGGGTTTGTTTGCATACTTTGCTTCCATCTGAGCCAGAAAACCTTCCATTTCCTTTTTTCGACTATCTATTCTGTTCTGTTAAATGGAATAAAAACAAGTTGGTTAAAAAAGCAAAATATTAGCTTCTATTATAAAAGGCATTACAGCTTCTCCTCGTTTAACAACTACCTCAGATAGTGACCATTTGCAAATATGGTAATAAATGGTAGTAAAAAATATTAATTTTCTTAGTAACGTGCACACTTACACCAAATTTTTGCACCTGAGAATATACTCTGAGTGAAAGTAACACTGGCATAATGCACTACAGAATTTTATCTGAATGAGACATTAGCAACCAGCAATCTTTACAGTATCTCAGTCAGATATTTGCTTAGCTACCACTTTGCTTAATGACAAAGTTAATTGAACAGACTGGGGTCATTACATGAGGGTGTGCATGTTATCAAAATAATTCAGAAACTACAATAGCATCTATGTTAAAGTATTTAAAATAACATGCAGACTTAAAATAAGTTTGTTGAAAGAATCAAAACTACTGTTTAAAAATTACAAAGGAAGTAACTGTAACATCTATGAGCTACTGTTATCAAGATGCCTATTAATTAAATATGCTACAAAGATCAGAAACAGATTCCCCGATTATTGCTGTGTTTTGTATAGGAAAATCACAGTCAATTTGGAACCTCTACCATATATCAAGTAAAATTCTTTGTCCCAATGCAAGTCACTGTATGCTAAATTGTGACATTTTATGAATTCTTTGATCAGTTTAGAAAAGTTTTTTTTCCAAGGATCTTTAAGCATCTTTTCATAATCTTACTTGAATTAGTACTTTCAGATCATCATCTCCTTCTCCAAGTCCCATTTGTTCCCTGGATTCTTCTGCCTCTTTAGCTTCCTTTTCTGCCTGAAACAGCAACAATACTGAAATGAACTATCAAGTTTCCTAATTCAAATCACCACTGCAATTTATTTAGCATTTAAGGAAATATTCCCACAGCAACCATTCTTTGAGTCAAGGTGGCCAAAGCCATGCAGGAACTTATAATAAAGTGAGGACCTGGGCCTGAATTCCCAGGAACAAATCCAAAACTTTAATTAACTGTTTTAATAAAAAATCTTCAAATAAACACATATGTGTATTCTGTACATGTTACTGATTATTATTTTCATAGCTTTAGAATTTTTTTTCTAAAAATCACTAGAATGTAAGATAATACAAAAGATAAGGGCATTAGTCACTTTCAAAAATTCCACCTTGATTTAAAATAGGATTATAATGTAAAGATAAATGGTAGATGCTATATACCAGGGGTCTTCAAACTTGGCCCTTTTGTGACTTGTGGACTTCAACTCCCAGAATTCCTCAGCCAGGCATGGCTGCCTGAGGAATTCTGGGAGTTGAAGTCCACAAGTCATAAAAGGGCCAAGTTTGAAGACCCCTGCTATATACACTGATATATTTAGAATTATATTTAGTGTTACAAACTTTATTAATAAATCTTACCCTTCTTTTTCTTGCATTTATCTTTCTCTTAGACTCATTTACAAAGGATTTATAAGATGAAAGTTCTCCAGAATCAATAGCATGTTGAATAATCTGTCTTATTCTTGGTTCATCTGTATAATCAACACATAGCACAGAGTCCATGATTTTGTCCATATCGCCTTTAAAGTCTTCATATGCGGCTTTAATGTCCTCCAGCTCTTCTGTGGAATATTTGTATTTCTTTTCAAAATCTTCAATATCTTTTACAGTTATCTAGTTGATTAAAAAAAATTAAAACTTTTTTTACAAGCTTAAGTTAGAAATACTTTTTTCCATTCCTACATTCACTATTATTTAAAAGGTTTTTCTTTTCCTATCGTTCAAGTTCAGCTGAACCAAATCTTTATGAAATAAGAAGGTATTCTGTATGCGGAGTCTGGAGCCAGAGAAGATAGTCTCAATTTAAGTAAAACCAGCAATTTATCTAGTTCAGCAATGTAACCACTGCTTGGAAGCAGTTCCTGTGAGCTTTGAGTTGTAATATTTTCCAATTCTATTTGGAGATTCTAGTGTGAAGTCTGGAAAGTTCAGATGGAAGACCCATGTTCATTAGTAACTTCAGGATTTTTAGGGTTTAGTGTAAGTTACTTGTATTTTGGCAAGAATGGATTTAAAAATTAATATTTTCTGCCATTTGTACAAAATTCCAGAATTATCAGAACTGCTTCTCTTTAATTATAACTTTCATTAAGCCTTCTTTATTAAATTTGTTTGCTGCCCATGTCACGAACAATGAAGTAATGGAAAAAAAAAACACCCTAGCAACCGGCTTTAGATATGGTAAGAGTCCATCATAAAATGATGTATTATACAAAACTTATACAATCGTAACATATACAAAATGTTATCCTGGAAATAATTCTGGCAATTCAGTTATATAGTTAGTGTAGAGTTAAAAAAAAAACCCCACTTTTTTGAATAGCAACCTCCAGTATTCGTCCCAGTTACGATCTTGGGTCAACACAGTTGATTCCTCATCCAGGATCCCTTGTTGATCGTATAACGCCCTCTGTTCCTCATCACTTAGTACTGCGTACACCTTGCCGAGGATCTAAGAGGATACAGACAAATAATCCAATAAATGGCCTGCTCCCTTCCTCTTGCCTTTTCCAAAGGGCCTGTTTTAGGATAAGGAATGTTACATTATCATAAATTTTCCTAATAGTAAAGTAGTAAAACTACTGAAGAGTTTTATCATTTTGTAAGTACAGTAAATTGGGGCCATTCTAAGTAAGCAGAATTTAAACTCTTTTTAAAATAAAACTGAATCTTTAAAATATATTGTTTGTTCTTTAGATGTATAATCTTTTTATAAAAATAACAATTTATTCACTGCAAGCAGATTTATGCTGCTTCAATTGACTCTAAGCAGCCCACAATTCATAGCCAAACATCAAAACCACAGGATGGTAATACTGTAATTAGACAGGACAGGCCACCATAAGAATTTTGTGAAAAGTCAATTTATGTTTCCCTTTGCTTCTTATATGGGGTTGGGGGAGGGGGCTCAGGAGGCATAAATGTCTACATTGAGTTTATGATTGAGAGGCAGAGCCCTGCAAATCACTATAGCAGGTAGAAGTCAAAAATAGGTTGCCAGCCAAGTTACCAAAACTATTGTTTTTAAAATTAACTTGTGGGATGGACAGGCAAGAAACCCCCAGAGGACATGCGTCCTGTTTCATTCAAATAAGAATGCTTTTATGAGTCTGAAACGATTCCACCACCAACTGGGCATATCTGGGATACTTCTGCCCACCCACGTTCCTCTTCTTTTATGCCACAAGTTTAGAATGTCACAAGGGCTGGAGCCCCACCTCCAGTTTTTCCTCCCCGTCCCCCCCCCCAAGCCCTGGGAGGTTACATCAAGCCAAGCTAGCCTGAGAATGTCAGTTAAAAGTTTAGTGACCCAACCAGAATCTCAACAAGGCTAATTGCCATACTACAGTAGTGGCCAAAATTGTGGAAACCTTTGGGGAAAAGTGTATTTTGGAGGTTTGATGGCTAATAACACCACTTTTTTGGGAATAGTACCATAAAATTATATATCAATGGAAAGATAATTTAATCAAGACTGTAATGTAATAACTTTTATGAAGGATTTGCTATTAGAATAGCAATTATAAAGAAAAAAGTGAAACATGTAGAAAAAACGAGATATACAAAAATTATCACCATGTCAGTTAATACTTACAGTAACATGGATTTTAGCCCAGTTTAATCTTTTCAACCTTTGTTTGAGAGATAAAAATGGCTTTTTTGATGGAATTCTAGATTTTAGGCCAAATTCCTGCAGTCTGCATCGAACAGTCCTTGCACTCAACTTCACATTGCATTGTGCCATTTCATCTTGTATACACCCAGATGATTTTCTTCTGTCACGTACGCAGTCTCTTGATTCTTATATCATCACTTGCTGTTGTGCACCTCTTCCTGCCTTTACCAATGTGGTTTTGTAGTGACTGAGTCTCCTTATACCTCTTCAAAAACTTAGAAATGCCACCTTTGGTTACGTTTCCACCAATTTTTCTTCTAATTTCTTCATAACTGTAGCCTTGTTCACTTAATACTACTATTTTACATCGCTTTCTGGGCGACCAGTCAACTCTTTGCACCATTATTTTAATTTTATTACGTTTTACAAGCTCACTAAATGAAAGAACACAAAAACACCCAACCAACTTGATAGCGATCACATAACACAGTGACATGTCCTCCTCTCAGCTTCAATACATGATATCAATAACTGAATCCTACCTTGATCTGATTGGCTCATTGCCAAAACAAGATGACACCTTTTTGGCTCTCTAAACACTCATGCTCATTGGCTACAATCAGATGAAGGAAAGCTACCTGATATCAACCTAAGCAAGTTGTGCTTCCTTTTTCTAGTTATTTGGCTATAACTTTTCATAGAATACAGATCATTGAACAAACCTTGTTGCATTACATTCTTGATTAAATTATTTTTCCATTGATATATAATATTATGGTACTACTCCAAACAAAATTGGTGTTATTGGCTATCAAACCTCAAAAATACAGTTTTCCCAAAAGGTTTCCACAATTTTGGCCACTACTGTAGCTATACCTGCAATATTTATATTCTCTCCCATTTGTCGTGGGTGTCCTCTTTCTGGTGCAGCGACTGGAAATGTTCCACTTGCTAGTTTTCTCTGTCTCAGTCAAGGTACTGAGGGCCACACAGTATGGCCTTTGTGATACTTGCCATATGGGTTTTGTAGTACTGTTGCACCAGCTAACTCACGTGGGTTTTCTTGTATCTTACATCGGCCTTTTTCAAATGTCCTCAGCGCAGAATGGGAAGACACACTAAGCTTTCCAATCGAGCCTCCTCCCTAACCACTAGGCCCCTCCCAGGTTAGCTTTCCCGGAGGTTAGCCAAGGCTGTCGCCTCTTTAAGCAAGACT